TTTCAAAACTCAGCGGTCAGAAAATAAAATTCACGTCGGAATTTTCTTTTTTTCTACCTTATTATACTTCCTACGTTTTTCTCGGGCCGGCTCACCATAGTGTATAAAGCTCTCGCTTCACTTCGAACGGCAAGCAGTGAACCGAACAGCTATGCCCATATTTTTACAATCCTGAATCAACACTAGTAACTCTGCATGATCGCATTTACTTATAATTTTATAAAATGAATGTTATATAATTCCAATCTTTTTGAATTCTTTATTACGAACTTTTAAATATCCTATCAAATAGGCAGCAAAACAGTGTTTTTAAATTGATATCTTCATTCATTAGCAATACAATAAGACACTTGATGTGCTTATTCCGTTTCCTAATTTTTCTGATTCTCACTTTTTTTCAAAAAGTAGCGAGCAAATCTATATCTCTATAACGTCAACCAAACAATAATCAATCATAGAGCATTTGATGATAGGCTATATTTTGTTAATAACAGCGGCTTTCAATTGGGGTCTAAAGTGGTAGTCGTTTACGTAAAAAAAGTAAGGTGACTATTCCCGGGTTAAACTATAGACGAGGATTAATCACTGGCGCACTAATCGAGTTAAAGTGCGTTATCTTATCGTTTCTTAATCCGCCGCTTGCGTAGCAGCAACCCGAGTTGCACCCGCATGGTAGGATCAATATTTACAACACAGATTAAGTCCGGGGAATATTTATCGTATAAATCTGAAAGGAATTTCTGCCGAGGGAATATTTACCGTTCATTCTTTTGCCCACCGACTCTTTCCGCACCAGAAGTGAAAAATTGCTATAAACTGATAAACGCAAATGGAATATATAAAGAAACGGGAGGTGAAGGAAATTATTGGTCGGAAAAATCCGTCGAAACGTATAGAAACTCAATAAATGAAAAGTACATAAAAGTATATAAAGGAATATTAATTAATCACCACACGTATGTTGAGTCGAAGTTCACTCTCTGTGTGAGCGATCTAAAGATTTATTATTTGTTGAAACTTGTTTCTAATATTAAATTTATACAATTTATACTTATTCACTTATTTATATAACACGTATACATGTGTAAAGTCGGTCTTACATGCAAATGTCAACTTCCGCCAGTATGACCATATCGTGTATTTTTGTTTTGGTTTCGTTTATAAATATTTGTCCAACACTTATGACTAATGTATGTCGTCAACATTAGCTCACACTTGTTACGCGAAGTCAATTTGAATCTATTTCTTCAAGGCTATTTATGAGCTATATAAAATCATCAAATAAAATTCTCTATCTCTGATTTCGTCGGAAATTGTAAATCATCAAGAATATTACTAAGATAAAACGAGAAGAATTGGATAGCATTGATTGAAGTCGGTCGAGGATATATACTCTTGCCACTTATTAAGATTTCTAACAATCTTTCGACCTTTCAGGCTCTTCGACCATGAGGAATCTTGTTACAGTTAATTGCGTATAACGGTAAGAAATCATCAGTCGCTTATTTAATTAAAAGTGAACATAACATGAACATATAAACGCCACACGGCGAAAACGACACGTGACATAATCAACAAAAAGTGTAGGTGCGTGTTTCCCCTCACAAAATCCGTAATGGTATTACTTCGCATCACATTAAAATAATACTTTCAGATGATAATAAGCAATTTCCTCTCTAGTTAACATTAAAATGGTTAAAACTCAAAACAAGTTGCAGCTTTCTTTTCGAACTTGGTAACAATCGGCATCAAGGAAAGTCGTAATGTGGGAAAAGGAATACAATCGAGAGCATTTAAGGGAATTGCGAGTCGAATTTAAAATTCCAGGTTCTTTTTTTATATCTTTCCCTGACCTTTCCAGATTTTTCCTAACAAGTTTTTCCTCCACTTTTCCCGATTGTCTGGGTCTGGCAATCCTGTTTTTTAATGTCTCTCTCTTCCCCACTCTTCCCCATCGAGTTTCAAATATACTTTATTTCCAGAAAGTACAAAACATAATGGAGAGATGATATCTACTTTCTTAGCGATTCACCTCGCATATCGTGCTATTCGATTTTGACACGCCGAGGCGAATCAACCGGCGCTCTTACGATCGCTCCATTTACCAACGATCGCGTGAACGGATGTGAGGCAGAATATACCTCGAGCCGCGCGCGGGACGTGCAAACGTATATCAGCTGTATTAAATTCATCCGGGAATCCGACCGAGGAGAGAGATAGACGGTTGAACGCAGCCGGTGACATATATTCCGCTTTGTGTCGAAAACGAGAATCCGCTCGATCGCCATTCTAAAGGAAGTTTAGCAAAGACCGACAGCATCGCGATGATAATCCGCACGCAAACGTCTAAAGACCTTTTGCACTTATTCTTTCCATATTCATACCATGTAACATTCCAACAAGATCAGACTATTTTCACAAGTAGTATCGGTTCCCGGTACTTGGTGTTTCTCAAATTACCTGGATATAGGAGTAATTAGTTTTATATGTGTGTGTGTATATATATATATAAATAAATACATATATATACACACGTGTTATATATGTATATATGTATATATGTATATATATATCAAATTGCATGGAAAAAAAATTAATGCGTTCTATAAATCACGTCAACTATATTAATTAATCAATTGCTAAATTAACTTAATACATAGTAAAATGCATATATACAAACATTATTTTAAACTGTTGAAGCAATTTTTTTTATCAGAAAAGTAATCAAAATTAAAAATTTTTTGAGATAGAAGGCATATCATGACGTAACTTGAATGTAGCGTGTATAAAAAATATAGGCTGTAAATTATGGAACTATGTTTCATCTCACGTTTATATTTATATATATATTTATATAACGTGTGTGTATATATATATATATAAATATAAACGTAAGATGAAACATAGTTCCATAATTTACAGCCTATATTTTTTATACACGCTACATTCAAGTTACGTCATGATCTGCCTTTTATCTCGAAAAATTTTTAATTTTGATTACTTTTCTGATAAAAAAAATTGCTTCAACAGTTTAAAATAATGTTTGTATATATGCATTTTACTATGTATTAAGTTAATTTAGCAATTGATTAATTAATATAGTTGACGTGATTTATAGAACGCATTAATTTTTTTTCCATGCAATTTGATTGCATGCTTAAGGGGATACTATATTTTACCGACAGAATATTGATTTTTTTTCTTTACGTCTTATCGGTTGCATAGAATTACAAATGCTTCTATGCATCCCCTTAAAGAACGCTATATCCGTTGACAAACATCGATAACAATATAGAGGCGAAATGTTATGTTACATAAACGCGCCACTTTGTATTCCTTATCTTACGTAAATGTTAATGCGATATAAATGTGAAATAAAATGAATATTCTGTTTTACCATATCCAACGGAAAATCTAACCAAGATATATACAATTTTTCTACAAACTTTTTGTATCTTTTTAGACTTTTATATACCATTGTAAAGATATAGAAATATTCTTCGAAATTTTCCTCATTGGAACAAACACATATTCAATTTCTATAAGTTGCAACACGTTTGTTTTAGGTAAACGTTTATTCTATTTGACAGATCGAGATTCCAGTTTTGAAATTTTTAATCATTTTCGTCATATATTGGGCAATTCTCCAATTCATTTTCGCACGTACTATGTAGAAGCATTTCTATGCAACCAATAAGAACAGTAAACTTTGTAGAAAAAAAAAATCAATATTCTGTCGGTAAAGTTTTCGAGTGTAACAACCGATATTAAGTGGAGGAAGACTGCGTTCATCTTTGTTCAGCTTACCTTTTTATATGTCAGCGGAGAGAATATATCTTTGTAAGAAGTGATTTTTCTCTCTCCGCTTCTCAAGTAATATCCAAGTTATAGAACAGTAATTGACAACATTAACCTTTACTCATTCGTGAATTTTTCGAAAGAGTCATCGTTTTCAGTCTCAAGACTATTATAGTGAATTTCTCTAGGCAGATGAATATGAGATAATCATCTTGATTTGAATTGAAGAAACATCGAAGAGTAGAAGGAAACATGTGGATCCATAAAACGTAATGCAAAATTGAAGGTAAACTATAAAGAAGTTTTGAATGACGAACAGAAATTTATCGATATCTCCAAACATTTTTAAATGCTTTTTGCGCACTATATTCTCTATAAGTTACCAGTCGCCATAGACTCCTCTAAAAGATGGACGGAAACGTGCTGATAAAACCGGTATGTTTCAGTGCTATCCATTCCATTGAAATATTATCGCGAACCATATCGGCGGCGCAAACGCACGAAAAAGACAAGTATGAAATATCTCTTAAGCCTACCGAAATAGAGAGAAGAAATGCTAACGTGCAAGCAGCTAATTTCCCGTAAAACTACCGCGATAAACGTCAAAACGCGTCATGATAGATTGGCCGAATGCTCTCGATATTCCTTATCAGGATGCTTTCCGTTCCAGAAAATATTCTTGTCCGTTTTTAAAATTTTCATTAAAAATAAATTGAAAAAGTTTCAATTTCTGAACTTTTCTGGTGAATCTCAAAAGTTACGCTTGTTATTAACGCTGGCGGTAAATTTTCAATCGTCGTAAATGTAATCGATAAAAACCAAATGACGAGCCTAATTTTATATCGACTCGGAAAAAAATGTAAAATTTTCACAATTATATTTTAACCGTGTTAAAAGATCACCGCTCATACAACGTTGAGAGTGCTATCTTCTCAGTTCAGTTTCGCCGGTACTCAAAATCTGAAAAATCTGTCACGCGCGCCACATAGATAGAAAATCGAGAAATGTCCTATTACTTCCTTATCCAGACAAGGAAAAGAGTGCGTGTGAGAGAGAGAGAGAGAGAGAGAGAGAGAAAATTACACAACGCGTTTCGCAGGAAGCGATTGATCGAAGAAGGAAAACGAGACGGAATCCCCTGCACGAAATGCCGGCGATTTATCCCCATCGATTCGAGCACAAGGAGAAGGGTCGCTACTTACTGTGTTAATCGTAGAACCGACTGAAACGCACGTCGTCGGAGGAAATTCAAGTTTTTAGCCTCGATTCAGCTTCACTTCCGAGATGGATCGGACGATCTCTCTCTTCCGATCGGTCCATGAGCCGGATCAACTGGACGAGCGAGCTCGACTACTTTTTACGGTACCAACGGCGAAGACCCCGCGAGCGAATTCGTTCGCGTCAACACGAAGACGACTCTTCGTCGATCCCCTCTGTCAGGACATCAATAGACGCTCACTGAACTCGCGATAGTTCGGGTAGGGAGAACGACGACCTTGGACACCACCGTAATCCACGTACGATCGAAGTATCTTTACGACCACCCGATTAAGGTCGGTACATCCGCCGGCGGAATACTAGCACGAGAACAACCAGGAAGACACTTCGAAACCGGACGTTCGACCATCAGCCGTTCAGATTCGGCAAAGCGCGCCGACGGCGGTTCGATCGCCGTCGTCGAACTGCAGGTGCGAGCGAACAGCTGATCGGCCGACGAGGAGCAACCGACTCGTTTGACTCCTGCGAACCGACTAAACGCTCCCAGTCGCTCTGTCTCCCTCTCTCGCTCACTTTTTCCACGCTTCTATCTTCTCTCCAACCTGCAGCCGATGTTCTCGCGGAATATCTCGACGGAAATGACGAGTCAAGCCCCATGCGAGTCAAAAGCTGCATCTCCAACTGATGTGCACGTGTGTGGATATTTTGCCGACGCGCACACGTGCTGGACAATGATGAGACCGCTCGAGATCGTCGTTGAACCACCCGGCGAATCCGGCTGGCCGCGCTCCAACTGCGGCCTGACTAACCGAACTGACTGGTCCGAGTAAGTGCGCGGCGGCTCCGAGAACTCGCCGTCGCATTCCATCTCTCTCACTCTCCCTCGCTCGCGAGACGACATGCTCGAATTGCGCCATGACAAGAGGAGAGAGAGGGAAGGAGATGCAGGTCGAAAGAGAAGAGTGAAACTTTCTTCTCTCCTTTCCGATCCCTTTTTGCAGGTCGCATCTTTCAGTCGGTACGAGAGTTTTTCTTTTTTTCCTTTTTCCCTTACTTTTACGCGAGTGTAACTGATAACGCTATGTCTCTTAATAATCTGCAATATTTCAAGAGTTGCTTTTTTTGACCACACACACTTCTGAAAAGTCGCTCGCACCGTAACATATCGAACCTACGATTTTCTACATTTCATGTGTGAAAAACTATGAAAGGAGGGAAGTTGATAAAATTCTAAAATAAACTATAACTCTACTACTTTAATGATTTGATCATGCATGCGTAGAAAATCAAGTTTTAAGTTAAAACTGAAAAAAAATTCGAATTTAGACAGTTTTACTTGGAACATTGTAATTTCTTTACTTTTTATTATTTTAATCGACAACTGTAAGGCGATATGAAAAAAAGAAAAAAAATTTGACTTTAATGCATGTTCAAACGACATTTTTTTGGACTACTGAAAAGAGAGTATCTTGAAGTGTCGAAAATATGTGTTTCTTCGGGAAAAAAATATTTTTGTTGTGAAAATATCAAAAATTGTCTATTTATTACTTGCAAAATGATATGACACGTTTAAAAAAGTAATAAATTATTTAGGACTACAGAACGTTACACTTTAAGAGTTGTCTTATGCGTCGATTTTGGACATTCTGCTCACTGATTGAATCGTTCTGACATTTCACTTTAATGGTTTTTTTTTTTGTCGCGAAGGTACATCATCACTCTTTCAAACGTACATTTCGGCTCGTGATCTCGTTAGCCGACACCGAATGGTGCCAATTAGATTTAATAGTAAAATATGCAACAACTAATTATATAGTTGCTGCAACCACAGTACAATCGTTGAGTGACTTGTGCTGCAGCAGTGACGGGTCGCTTCAACCAGACTTTCTTTACAAATGTTACAATGACAACCATTTGGATAAAATTTTTTACAAACATAAAATCCGCCGGTGCTGCGCGAAAGCTGTTATTATACTTCCTACGTTTTTCTCGATCCGTCTTAGCACATGGTATTCGTTCTCGGATGGCAAACAGTGAATCCAACGGCTATGCCGATATCCTTGTGTTTACTTAGAGTAATAAGTCACCTTTGTTTTCTAACATAGTTGCTTTGCAGTATGACTAACCAAGTTCTGCTTGCCATAACTAGATCACGCGCAACTACATTGATATAGTTGACGTACCAAAATAATATCTATCGCACAAAGATAAGTATGGTGATACATCTATATGTTGCCAGTTATGTGAACTATATATCTTTTTTTCTGTGCGTTAACTCGTGCACTCCGCGTGATAATTCGTTCATCCTCCCGCCATTTAGCCGCGTGCAGTCATCTTTTCGCTTAATATTTACCGAATTTTTAATGATAATTCGGAGCAAACAGCGATTGTCGCACGCGTGATGCACACTATTCGTCGTGAATAAAACGAATAATTAATATTATTAAATATATATGTTCACCGTAATGTTATGCGTTTTATTCAATGTGCACAGATATATATATATATACGAGGACAGTCCGATAAGTACTTAGCCTACAAAAGAAAAACGAAAATTTTGGAAAAATGGCGATTTATTTCTCAACATAGTCTCCTTTTAGCTCGATACACTTGACCCAGCGATGCTCCAACTTCTTTAACCCATCTGAAAAATACGTTTTCTCGAAGTCTGCAAAGTAGGCCTCCGTGGCGGCGATGACCTCATTCGACTCAAATTTCTGCCCGGCGAGTGACTTTTTCAAGTTTGGAAACAAAAAAAAGTCGCACGGGGCCAAATCTGGAGAATACGGTGGATGGGGCAGCAGTTCGTAGTCCAATTCGACCAATTTGGCCATCGCCGAGGTCATCGCCGCCACGGAGGCCTACTTTGCAGACTTCGAGAAAACGTATTTTTCAGATGGGTTAAAGAAGTTGGAGCATCGCTGGGTCAAGTGTATCGAGCTAAAAGGAGACTATGTTGAGAAATAAATCGCCACTTTTCCAAAATTTTCGTTTTTCTTTTGTAGGCTAAGTACTTATCGGACTGCCCTCGTATATCCCGCGGAAAAGGACGAGTAAATTTGAACTACGCAATCGGAGCGATGACGCAGTAACACTATGCGAGTAAATTTCACAAAGCTGGATCGTCGATATTTCTAAAATTACCCAGATGCTACAAAAGCCCATAAATGTATTAGATTGCTGCGAAAAACTTATTTAACCCTTAGCTGACACACGTCAAAATAATAACGTACGTACTATAGGGAATATTTTGGACCCCAGCGAGAAAAAATGTGTATAATTGTTTTATTTATCAATATTGGGTCAAGGCTCGACTAATACTAGGTGACGCCACAGAACCAAATTTGGCGCGCAACTATGAAAAATTTGCGTTCAAAAACACTCTGGGGTACTTTTAACCTCGTGTGTCAGCTAAAGGTTAAAATCGAAGACTACACTACGGGATTGCAAACTAATTTTCATTAATCGAGATAGAGTAAAAATTTTGATGTGACTTTGTGCCTCCGTAAATGATCTATGAACTGGTAAAAATCTACTTTGACGACACTACATTTGTTAACTTCTCTCTCGAAGTTTTCGTTCTACAGATACATTTAATTCTAACGCTATCTTAAATTCAGAAATGCTCTCGACATTTCAATCATTAAATTCATACGAGTATTCAAATCAACCTATTTCGACTAAAAGCAGCGAAATTTTAAGACGTTATCTCAAAGTAAATTACATTGTTAGAGTAGAATATATTTTGCCATCATAACCCCTCTACTGTGTTGTAGAATTAACATAGAGCCAAAATGTCTACTCGAGTAACATTTCGCCGAATAAAAATAGACAACTTTATTTAACACAAACCATAAAAACGAAACATTATTTTTTTTCAGCAACCTAACATGGTGATATATAACTAACCGTATCAAATGAGTCTCGAGACTACGTAAAGCCAATGCGCCAACCTTGTTTACACCTGCGTATCAGAGGAAAGAACGTCTATTATTCAGTGGTTCATTGCTAAATTGCGTATACTCGCATTAACTCGTTCGTCAAAAAAAGCAATGCGTCCTTCGTCTACCTCACCATGACGCGGTAAAATAACAACAGGAAGTACAAGGAAGTGGGATTTCATGCGCAAGTGCATTCCTCGCACGTGGATAAACATGTCACGAGCATACAGGTACTTGACGCGGAATTCTTCCGCGAAAACGTTCGAAAGTCTTACGCAGCCAAACAAGAACAAGTGTATGCGTGGCCTCGAAGTGTCGAACAAAAAACCGCAGAACATGTCATCATATTGAAAACATTATTCGTCGAGTCTGAATCGTGTTCAAGGAATCGTTGTGATACGCATTCGTACGATAAGCATTTCCGATTTCCAAGAAGCACAGCCGATCCTAGCGATTAACTTCATTTTCCTCGTTTATTCACGACTTTCTGGTCTATTAAGGCAATTAATCCAAAATAATCTCGAGCTCGGAGTATTTCCTAGACTCAATTTGTTTAATCCGTGAACGTAATTTAAAAAAAAATAAAACAACTAGTTCTCGAGATTCTCGAGTGTTATTGACGCTATTTCGCTAAATTCAAGAATAAGTGTTGGAGACAAATTAGTGCCAATGTTGCAGGCAAAAATGAAACGAAGAAATATTCGTTTATTCATGCGATCAGCTTGACATCCAACTCATGGGTTAAAAATCCGCTTTAATCAGAATGGTTTCATAAATAATTTGAGCGTCACATGCACGGCCAATGAACGCCTCTCGCGCTAAACATACGACGCAACGTTTATATATTTTACGACAAAATTCAGAAATTCTTTTTCGTGTGGTAAACTTCGAAGTACGGTACAACGCAAAGAGAGATTTGTTATACTCGCTACGGATAAATAAAGTTCTTTTGCAAATAGAATATTTTGAATACATTAATTTTGATCTTTTGAGCTGTCCGTTAATTTCCCCCTTAGTTTCCACTTGATACAGAGCATAAACATTTATCACAGCCAACGCAGTGAAGAAAAAAGTTTTTGTACCGTTTCATCGTTTTTCGTACACAGATTCGGAAGTAGCAAGTTGTCGGTCAATCATGTCCACTCAGCCCATATTGACCTCGGCTTTACAATGTCTCCACCAATTTTTGTAGTTTTCTTTCCCTATCGTTGTTTGTTTATATGCTTTTGTCAACATCAGTAAGTCACGTTTCCACTTTACAATGAACAGTACAGGCTTACTTATTCACCCTTTTTCTCTTTTTTTTCTTTTCTAGAACTGGCGATCCCTTTCGATTTTTTCGAACTGTATGCCGGTTTTATGTATGAATCACATGCTCAGTATATTCGACAATATTCCGTATGTGCAAATAGTACATACAAATAATATCATGTGCTGTCTGAGCTCCTATTCGTCGGATTATTGATTCGACTAAACTCTTATTCAATTCAACTCAATTGCGGCTTATATAACTAAATTTGCATAACTTAGAAGCTCAATTCTTCTCATCCGACTTTTTTCACAGTATGTATTTACATCCTCGGTTCGTAATCCACGCGTAGAAATTTTATTTTCCCGCTCATTATCATACGTTCGCGGCCGACATTTCACGCAACTTATTTATGGGAATAAAACACGCGCGGTTTCATCATGCATTCATTTCACGCGCGCGTTGCGTCCTCTTGTATGCGCGGAAGTGAGTTCTACGCGATGAATTCGTATTGCCGAAACAACCTTCATGCAATGCCGAGATTTCAATATGTGACTTGAAGGGGGACACGATGACGTGAGGCTCGAAATTGAAATTGATACAC